AAAAAAAGAAATATGTTTCATATACATTTCAATGGATAATTTTTCAGATCACCACTCCATTTTTCTAAGATACTTCTGGGTGGACTTGAACTCTCAACCTTTGGATTAGCAGCCAAGTACATCAGTCATCTGCACCACCCAAAAGACTTCAAATACAAAGTAGCAGGGACAAAAAGTAAACATACAGAACTTAGGAAATCCGTCAATATAGGACAATGGAAAAACTTAGAACAACTTTTTTTAACAACTTTCTGAAGTCTAAATTAAGTGACTTAGTAACGATACTGTGATTCACTATTAGTAAATACAGGAGGGAGAAGCAGAGTTAAAGGAAAAGATGATGAGATTAAGTTTGAACCCAGTAAATTAAGGATTTCTGGTTGGAACCCATAGGCAATTGGTTAAGGGGAGCCTAAAGGTCAGGTTTGGGCTGGAAGATGTACCTATGTATATATTCAGGAAGCAGTCAAAGTCCAAAAACATATAAAATAAACAGGAATGAGAATCTACACATGAAATAGCAAAGAATTGTCCACTTCAGGCACATCATCTCAAACACACCTGAATTCAGAGCAAATACTGCAATCTAAAGCAGAACTCTCCTGGGGAACCCATCAAAGCTCAGAAATCTGCACAAAAGATGTCAAAAAGCAACTATTGTCAAATGATCAAAACTGGCACCTATTTGCCACACAAGATGGAAAGAAATGATGACAAGGACAAAAAACAAGACTCCCAGGAATCTAACATTTAAAAATCAATCAGAAGCAACAACAATCTGGAACAGGAGGTGCACTGCAGAGTGGAATGGGGGAGGAGGAAGGGAAGAATATGTGCAACAGCAAACAAAAACATTTATAAAAAAAAAAAAAGTCAATCCAAACAAGTGAATCAAAGGAGCAACAAAAGATAATGGGACATTCTACTCTGACATACATGCAGTCAGTCAGTCAAAATGAGCCAAAATCAATTTGAAAGCAACTGGCTGAACCATTTAGATAATACCTGCTCATGGGGCAGCCACAGAAGGGAAGAATTCAGTACTATGGCAAACTAACAATGCACTCAGCTGTCAGCGAAAGGTCAGATTAGTTCAGAAAGGTAAAAAAGAAGAAAAGAGACACTCACAAGGGGACTTTCTCCTCCGTGGTAAGGCTAAAGACCACCTTTCCCAGGACCACAGAACCACTGTTCACACCAGGCTGCAGCAAACTCAATGGCTTCAGCTCCAGTGTCACCTTCTGCCCAGAGGCTGACTGATAATGTCCATCACCACAAGGACCAAGGTGGGCTGGACGCAAGTTTCCTAGCATGCTCTTCAACTTTTTGGCCTTTACTTTTCCCTGCAAAAAAAGAAAGAGACAAGAAGCTAGAAACAGTCACCCTCCTTGAATCTATCCTCTCTCACCCACCTACCTCTACCACTATTTATGTCTGTCTATTCTAGTCTTGTTTTACTGACTCTACCCAAAAGAAGTTGCTGTTGTTATTTTTAGGTGCTGTCAAGTGGCATACCACTCATCGAGACCCTATGAACAAAAGATCTGCACCTTGTTCTATCCTGTGTCATCCTCACACTTCCCGACACATAAGAACCCACTGCAGCAATCACCGTGTCAATCCACCTGGTTGGAGGGTCTTCCTCGCCTTTGTCAACCCTCCATCCTTCCCAGCAACATGTTCTTCTCCAAGTGATAGCCCCTCCTAGCAAGATGCCCAAAGTATGTGAGGTAAAATTATTCTTGCCTTCAAAGAGCGCTCCAGCTGCACCGTCTTGAAGACATATCTGTTTGTTTCTTTTGGCTGTCCATGGGATGTTTAGTGCTCTTCTCCAAAACCATAGCTCAAAGGCGTCAATTCTTTTTCTGTCATTTTTATTCACTGTCTAGCACTCAGATGCATAGTAAATGATCATAAAGGCCATGGCCTGAATCAGATGCATTACTACTCAGTAATTTGGAGAGGTCCCCAACTGCAGATTTTCCCACTGCAATGTGTCTCCTGATTTAACTGCAGATTTTCCCACTACAATGTGTCTCCTGATTTCCTGACTGCTGGTACCAAGGGTGTTAATTGTGAACCCAAGCAAGATGAAGTCATCGATATTTTCAATCTCTTCATCCATTATGATGGTCACAGTGGGTCCGATGGTAAAAAATTTTGTTTTCTTGAGAATGAGATGTAATCCATAATGAAGGCTGCATGCCTTAATCTTCTGCAACAAGTGCTTCAAATCCTCCTCACTTTCAAGCAAGCAAAGCTGTGTCATCTGCATAACACAGGTTATTGATATGTCTCCCTCCAATCTTGATGCCACATTCCTCTTCAAAGAGTGCAGCTTCTCAAATAATTTGCTTAGTATACAAATTGGAAAGGTATGGACAAAGAAACAACCCTGACACACTCCTTAATTTGAAACCATGCAGTGTTCTCTTGCTTGATCTGTTTGCACAACAGGCAGGTATAAATTTCACATAAGCCCGATTAAGTATTCCAAGTTCCCATTCCTCTCAAAATCAGCCACAACTTATTATGATCCACACAGTCAAATGTCTTTTCATAGTCAATAAAGCACAAATAGATATTCTTCTGATATTGTTTCTTTTCAGCCAGGATCCATTTGACATCAGTAATAACATCCCTAGTGCCAGGGCCTCTTCTAAATTCTGCCTGAACTTCTGGCAGTTCCCTATCTATGTACTGTTCTGGTTTTTTTTTTTTTTAACGATCTTCAGCAGTATTTTGCTTTCATAAGATATTAATGATATTGTTTGATAGTTTTCACATTCTATTGGGTCATCTTTCTTGGAAATGGAAACAAATATGGACCTTTTCCAATCCATTGGCCAAACAGCTGTCCTCCACATTTCCTGGCATAGACTGTTGAATGCATCCAAGTTTGCACCTGTTAACTGAAATAAGTCAACTGGTATTCCATTGGCTCCTGGGCCTTATTTTTTGCCAATGTCTTCGATGAAGCTTCCACTTCCTCCTTCATTACCAATGGCTCCTGTTCATATGGTATTTCCTGAACTTTTTCTGGTACAGTGATTCTATGCTTTCCTTCCATCTTCTTTTGATGTTTTCTGAGTCATTGACTACATTGCCCATAGCACCTTTCAATATTGTGACTTGAGGTTTAAATTTGTTTTTCAGTTCTCAGCTTGAGAAATGCAGAGCAAATTCTTCCCTTTTTATTCTCCAATTCCAGCTCTCTGCACATTCCATTATAATACTTTGCTTTGTCCTCTTTTACTCTGGCACGTTTTCCTTTTGTTTTGGCTTATCAATACTCCAGTGAAATGTAGAGAGTCTCTTCTGACATCCATTTCTATTTTTTCTTTCTCTTCTGTTTTTGTAATGATCTTCTGCTTTCCTCATGGATGATATCCTGGATATCATCCCATAACTCGTTTGGTCTTGGTGCCTCAAATCTATTCCTAAGATGACCTTAAAATTCAGATGGAATTAATTCAAGATCATACCCTGGTTCCTGTGGACTTACTTTAATTTTCTTTGGCTTCAATTTGAACTTGCATATGAGTAACTGATAATCTGACCCAGAGTCCACCCCAGCCTAGTTTTGACTGCTGATATTGAGCTTCTCTAACTATTTCTTCCACAAATGTCATCAATCAGATTCCTATGCAGCCCATTAGGTGAGATTCATGTGTAAAGTCATTTGTGTCTTTTTAAAAGGGTATTTCCAATGAATAAATCACTGTAAATACAAAATTCAACCATTCTATTTCCAGCCTCATTTCTACCACCAAACCCATATTTTCCAACTACTGTTCCTTCTACGCTGTTTCCCACTTTTACATTCCAGTCACCAATTATCACTAATGCATCTTGATTATATGTTCGGTCAATTTAGGACTGCAAGATTTGGTAAAAATTCTCAATCTTCCTCTTTGGCTCCACGTACAGGAACATATATTTGAATTAACAGTCATATTAATGGGTCTGTATGTGTACGGATATTATCCTATCATTCACAACATTGTATTTCTGGATAGAACTTGAAATTTATTTTTTTTTTTACTATAAAGCAACACCATTCTTCTGATTTTCATTCCCTGCATAATATACCATATGATTTTCTGATTCAAAGTGGCCAAGGCTGGTCCATCTCATCTCCCTTATCTTAGCATGTTGATGTTCATGAGTTCCATTTTTTTTTATTAATTTTTTTAATTTTTTTTAATTTTATTAATTTTAATGAACATTTACAGAGATTTTGGATTTCCATTCATTCATTGTTGAACTTTTCTCCTGCCCAGCCTTCCCGCCCCAGTTCGCTCTGCTCTTTGAAAAGTAAAAGAATTCTTTCTTTGGTAAACAATCCCCCCGCACCCCTCTCAGCGACCCGATTACACTCCACTATGCAACTTTAATTCTGGACTCCTGTGATAACCATAATACCCTATCATATATCGCTTTTAAATTATTATCTTCCTCATCTGTTTCAATGCAGTATACATAATTTATCCCGTTTTTCTCAGTCTTGCCCCAACCCTGATGTCAGTCCCATTCTACAACAGTGGCATGATGCAGTATTTGTCCTTTTGTGACTGAGATACTTCACTCAGCATAATGTCCTCCAGGCTCACCCATTTTGAATAATATTACATGAATTCCTTGTTTTTCAATGCAGCATAGTATTCCATTGTGTGAATATACCACAGCTTCCCTATCCATTCATTTGTTCATGGGCACTCAGGTTGTTTCCAACTCCTTGCTATTGTGAACAAAGCTGCAATATACATGGGTGTGCATATATCTGCTTGGATGTCAGTTATGGTCTCTTTAGGGTATATTCCCAGCATTGGAACTGCTGGGTCAAATGGTATCTCTATTTGCAACTTTCTGAGAAAGCGCCACACCACTTTCCACAGTGGTTGCACCATTTTACACTTCCACCAACAGTAAATAAGGGTTCCAGTTTCTCCACAACCTCGCCAGCATTTGTTGCTTGCTGTTCTGTTAAATTTTGCTATTCTGACTGGGGTGAGATGATATCTCATACTTGTTTTGATGAGTTCCATTTCATTTTTAACAATTTCCAGTTTTCCAACATTCAAGCTATGTACATTCCATGTTTCAATTATTAAATGATGTTTGTTATCGTTCCTCCTCATTTCAACTGACTTTCAATCTGGGACCTACCACTACAGTACTACTCCTACTATCCTCACTCCTTTAGTGTTCACAGAGTTTTCAAAGACCTGTTACTTAGGAAGTAAGTAGCCCATCCTGCTTCCTAGCCCAAAAAAAGGAGTATGATCAAGTCCTTTAGTTGTCTTTACCTTGGTCTCAAGGAGGCTGGTTAATCTATCCAGGAATTCCAGAAGCTGTTGCTCTCGCTGCTGGGGCTCTGGCCAGGCAGGGTCCAGTGCTGCTGCGCGTGAGAAGCCCTCCAGTGCCTCCTGGTAATTCTCTTCATATTTATGCAACTGCACAGAAAGTAACCAACAACTCCCCAATTTCAAGTGTATTTAACATAAACTATGTCACTGGGAGTAAAGACACAAGGGCCAGGAATCTAGAGTAATAATCAGTTTTCCTTCTTAATCCAACCATGAACAATCTAGAGCTGGCCACATCTTACAAGCTTCCATCGTGGCCAAACTCAAAGCAGAAATATACTCAAAGAAGTTAGCTCTCAAACTCTAACGTAATTAAGTTGTATATAGTGAGTCATTTTATTTGTGCATATATAATTAACACTTGGAGTTCTCCCTCCCACCTCTTCAGTCCTCTCCTTTGCCTCCACTGACTCCAACACATACTGAAGCCAAAGTGAACAACAGTTTCTGAGAAATAATTTGGCTTTCTACTAGCAGTTTGTACCCACTGTCTATAGGTATATTCAGTTATATTCACAGGGTAAGGCCTAGGTGTCTGTCTTATTTGACCTTCAGAATAACAACCCGTCCTCCACAGGTCTTACCGTAGCCCTGTTGAGATGAAGATCAGGGTTGCTGGAAGCTGTCCTGTCGACCTTCTCCTAGAGTAGGATTAAAAAGATCATCAGAAGATCCTGTCTCAGTCTGAAGGGTGGCTATACTCTATAGATCGCAGAGACCTCCTCTCTCTAGAAAAATGTTATGTTTCTTATAGCAACTGCTTGTGTGGCATACAGTTACCAATAAGTACAACACAAAACCTCACCCAAAAAAGTTTCCTCAGTCCATGAAACCTCAGTAATGGATGGTAGGGTTTTTGCACATGGAAATTTAAAATATAATTACATAATTACAATTTGTGCACACAATATTAGAAAGATTAAAAAGTAGTATTTTTAAAATGTTTAGTGAGATGTTAATATAATCAAAGAGTGACAAAAACAATTTCAACTTGGCTTGTTCCCAGACACATGCAGATTCTCATTCCTACCTCTAACCACCCCTAAAACATATCCTTAAAGTCAAATGCTGATACTCTAATTACAGTGTGCTCAGGCAGGATAATTCTGCTCGCCAAAACTGAGGAGGACTTGAGGCACTTGCTGAAGATGACCAAAGATTGCAGCCTTCAACATGGAATGCATCTCAAAAAGAAAGCAAAAATCCTCACCACTGGGCCAATAGGCAGCATCACAATAGATGGAGATAAGATTGAAGTTGTTAATGATTTCATCTTGCTCAGATCCATAATCAACACCATTGGTATCAGCAGTCAGGAAATCAAAAGACAATTTCCATTAGGAAAGTCTGTTGTCAAGGCCCTTTCCAGAGTGCCAAAGGGCAACTATTTCAGTCTAGAGACTAAGGTGAGCCTGAACTAAGTCATGGTCTTCTCAACTGCTTGCTATGCATCTGAGAACTGGGCAATGACTAAGGATGACAGAAGCATCAATGCCTTTGAGTTGTGGTGCTGCAAAAGAATACTGAGAACAGCATGGACTGCCAAGAGAACAAACCAGTCTGTCCTGGAGAGGCTGAAACCAGATTACTCTTTAGCGGCAAGGATTCTGAAACTCCACCTCACATACTTTGGTGGGCATATTGTCAAGAAGAACCTGTCCTTGGAGAAGGACTTTATGCTTGGGTAGAAGGTCAAGTGCCAAGAGAGGAAGACTCGGGATGAGATGGATTGATACAGTGACTGTGGCAACGGGGTCAGGTGTGTCAGAGATGGTGAGGTTGGCTCAAGATAGGGAAGGGTTCACAGTCATTGTTCATCGCCTCACTATCAGTTATAGTCGACTCAACAGCACATAACACGTAACACATGCAGAATCAATACTTAAACCAAGAGGCAGTCATTCAAACAGAACAGGAGAATACTGTGTGGTTTAAAATCAAGAAAGGTATTCATTAAGGAAAGTCTGCTGTCAGGGACCTCTCCAGAGTACTGAAGAGCAATGATGTCAGTCTAGAGACTAAGTGCACCTGGTACAGGCCATAGTCTTCCCAATTACTGGCTGTGCATCAGAAAGCTAGACAATAGCTAGGGATACCAGAAGAAGGACTGATGACTTTGCGCTGTGGTGTTGGAGAGTACTGAATATACCATGGACTGCTAAGAGAACAAACAGGTTTGTCCTGGAGAGGGTGAAACCAAGCTGCTCCTTGGAGGCGAGGAGTCTGAGGCTTCGTCTGACATACTCTGGGCATGTTGCAAGGAGAGACCAGTCCTTGGAGAGGGACATCATGCTTGGAAGGGTGGAGGGACAGTGCTAGAGAGGAAGACCCTCGATGAGATGGATTGATTCAGTCACTGAGATGGTGGTGGTAGGTGTGTCAGAAATAATAAAGTTGGCAGAGGGTTAAACAGGGTTCAGAGCTATTGTACATAGCGTTGGTATGAGTCGCAAGCTACTCAACGACACAGAACAACAACTCCATACTATGCAAAAAATGACAGCAATAAAGAATGATGTCTTGAAACACGGAACGATATAGAAAAACCTTAAAATCATTATGCTGTGTGAATTAAGTAAGTCTAAAAGGTCAAATTACATTAATCCATTTATGTATCTGGAAGGGCAAGTGAATACAGATCTATTTAGTAGATGTTTTACCAATGATTACTAGAGACAGCAAGAGGGAGGAGGAGGAAAAGGATTCATTGCTTAGAAAGCTTCTATTAAGTGTGGGAGGAGAATGTGAAATGTATACTCGTGATGGTTATACAACACAATGGCCAAAATGAACATCATATGAGGTGAAGAATGGTGAATGACAAAAGTTTTGTTAAATAAATGTCAACTACAATTAAAACAACAACTTAATGCCAGATTTTATACATAAGATTGTTGAGTCAGAACCTCCAGTGGGTTTTTAGAAGTAGCAGACAGTAGATCTTACATCTAAGTGTGGACTTTTGTTATTTGAAAAATTCTGCTTCCCAATAAATTATAAAATGCTTCAAGAGGATATAATGGCAAGTGAAGCAATTCCCTATGTCAGGTAAATATTCAAAACCAAGTTCACTGCCATTGCGTTGAAACCAAGTCCTAGCTGACCCATAGCAGGTTTTCAGATGCTGTAAATTGCATGAGAACCGACTGTCCACCTTCTCCCACAGAGCTACTCATGGATTCAAGGCACCTGCCTTTCAGTTGACAACATAAATCCTTACCAACTAGGCTACCAGAGCTCCCTCCCAGGTGAAGGAGAGAGGTTAAATAAAGTGCTTAGGAAGTCAACAAGAATCTTTTCATGAGTAACAGGGCAATGCTTAAAAAACACACCTGTTAGTATTAATACAATGCTGCTAAAAGCAAATCATGAACTCCAGTGAATCAATTCCTAAGAAACGATGGAGAAGGGACTACATGCTGCTACTTTTTAGAGTAAGGACAATCTAAAGTCATAAAACTGAATGATTAATCAAGGAGAGCACTTAATTTGAAGAGCCAATAAACCTCAAATACAGTCACCACTCATCAGCCAGTGTAAGGTATGCCTGTTGTCATAATGCTAAACAGGCTTCAGCATACCTTCCAAACTAAAACACTCTATACAAAAAGTCCTGACAAGTGACTTCCAAAAAAAATTACCCAATAAAAACTCAATGGATCAAAACAGCCCAACTCCACACCAATCACTGTTATTGTCATTGGTGTAATAGTTAAGTGTGTATAGGTGCAGGATTGAGGGCCATTTCACTCAGGGACCAACTGAATGCACCTAAAAATAAGTAGAATTTTCTCTTTTTATTTAAAAATGTACACTAAGATGAATAAATAATATTTTAATGGAATGTTTGTTCCCATTAAAAATGATGCACTTTCTCTCTGCCCGGGGTGGGCTGCCCTCGGCCCTCTGCCTGGGGCGAGCCGTCGCAGCCCTCTGCCCAGGGTGGGCTGCCCTCGGCCCTCTGTCCGGGGTGAGCCGTCGTGGCCTTCTGCCCGGGGAGAGCTGCGCTTGGCCCCCGGCTCGGGGTGAGCCGTCGCAGCCCTCGGGAGCGGGAGGGCGGGCAGCTGTGACCCAGGACCACCGGTGGGGTGATGGGGCGTCCTCCCTTCCCCCCTTTGTATCTGTGCCCCTGTTTGGCATGAAGAAGCCAGAGAGTCGGCATCCGGTTCCCAGATCAATGGGACAGTTGGTTTAATTACTGTTGGAGGGTGCTTGTCATTCCTCTGTGGCATCTGGTCCCCACTGGACCCTCATTATTTCCTTCGCCTGCTCCCCCCCACCGACCAAGCTGTGCGGCTCTGCAGCTGCATCCTGGCCCATCCTCGCCCTTCTGCCCCCAACCCTCACCTCCTTGTACCCCCAATATGTTTTTCCCAGTTAAAAAAAAATATTTAATAAAAAACAAAAATGATGCACTTTCTGAGGTGAGTTCTGTGACCTGGTTATACATGCCTGTGAGAGAACACAAGCAGCGCTCTAGGACTAAGACACTACACTACAAATGCTGCTACTACTCAAGTTTTAAGAGCAATAAGGAGCCTCTACAAATAAAGATTAGCAAACCCACATATGTTGCATGGAGGCAAACAGTGCCCAGGCTGGCTAAAAGAAAGAGAATGCCCTTGCTTCTGTTGCTGCCTCTATTGCTCTGGCCTAGAGGACCACAAATACTTACAGCCTGGGCATAGGCACTGAGGGCTTGCTGGGAGATCTTAGGGCACTGGCCAGTATTGAAGTAAAGAGAAAGGTATGCATTCCCCAGGATATCTGGAAGAGAAATAGAAAGTGAGTAAGAGACCAATATCAAGGTATGAGCTACTTTGATCACCGTCAAGTCTATTTGAAAAGCTTCCTATCTTACACAAATCAATAGATAACATGACATTTAGTATACTCAAAATTCCACTGAGCTAAATATAGACCCAATTAACAAATCTGAACAGACTATACAAATCTTTGTCTTGCTTACATGAGGATGTAAGCCTTCTTTCCTGGGCCAAAAGATCCCAGAATAGAGGTTTATCAAAGTACCTTTAGGGCATCCTCAAAACAAAGATGGCTTGGTTTTTAACCCCAGAGTCAGAATCAATAGGTGGTGGTTTCCAGAGCACTCTAGTGTGCAGCCATGGCTGAGAACCACTGTCTAGAAATGGCTAGAGGTCTTGTAAGAGCACTCACACCAGGAGCGACCATCATGGACATCCATCTGCACAGCCAACTTGGCCTGCCGGACACTGTCCATGACATGGCGAGAATGGTCGTCTTCACTGTCGGTCCTCAACTGGCGAAGCACCATTGACAGGTTTTGCAGGGAGACTTTATTCATGCACTGCAAATGGAGAAGATGTTTGCTCAGCCTTCCCATTCATCTCCTCTTTCCAGCACTACTGTGGCTTCAGTCTTCTAAATCTAATTCATCTTTATTCTTGCGGCCATCTGCACCTTACACCATGCACTAGGACAAATCTGCCTGTTATCTGCTCTCCACTTCCCATCTGCAATGAATCTGATCCTGTCCCCTTCTTTCTCAGTTCCCTATCCCTTCATGCAGATCTGCCCCCTCACTCTTCCTCCCTTTGGATCCTGTTCTCTTGGTTCCAATTCAGCTCTATTCTGGTATTCAAGTCTTTGGAGAAGAGACCAGAAAAGTCCCATCCTTCCCATGTGCATTATCTGAGGAGACAACAGGTAGCTCACATGGGTAAGAGCTCCTGAGAAGCAGGTGTGGGCCGCTGCAACATCCCCTTTCTTCCAGTACACTTCACCCAGCTGGTTCCAGGCTTCTACCAGCTCAGGCTCCAGCTTCACAGCCTTTGAGAGAAGCTCCTCAGCCCTAAGGCTATAGTCACAAGTCACATTCAATGCCTTCCCTGTTAGCATCAGAACCTGAGCATTGCCCTGGACAGAACCTAGGAGAGAAAAAGAAAGGAAAATGGGAAAAACAGTCAGTCCTTCAGATATGAGAGATAAGGGCACTATCTCTCAAAGAAATAACTCCATGCCAACTCTAGGAAAAAGCTGAAGAAAATATTTACACATATTGGGTAACGAGGTAACAAAGAGAGCACTAGCCAGCCATTCATCTGAGGGGTTTCCAGTCTGGTGAAAAGAACAAAGAAGGTACTGAAAAAGTAAAACAATAAATGAAAAGGAGTTCATGATTTAAGACCAATGAATCTGTTTTAAAGAATTAGGGAAAAACAACTATGAGATATCATTTCACCCCAGTCAAAATAGCAAAATTTAACAGAACAGCAAGCAACAAATGCTGGCGAGGTTGTGGAGAAACTGGAACCCTGATTCACTGTTGGTGGGAGTGTAAAATGGTGCAACCCCTGTGGAAAGCAGTATGGCGCTTTCTCAAAAAGTTGCAAATAGAGATACCATTTGACCCAGCAATTCCACTACTGGGAATATACCCTGAAGAGACCATAGCTGACATCCAAGCAGATATATGCACACCCATGTTTATTGCAGCTTTGTTCACAATAGCAAGGAGGTGGAAACAACCTAAGTGCCCATCAACAAACGAATGGCTAGAGAAGCTGTGGTATATTCGCACAATGGAATACTATGCTGCATTAAAAAACAAGGAACTCATGCAATATTATTCAAAATGGTTGACTCTGGAGAACATTATGCTGAGTGAAATATCCCAGTCACAAAAGGACAAATATTACATGATGCCACTGTTGTAGAATGGGACTGTCCTTGGGGCTGGGGAGAGACTGAGTAAGATGGGTTCAATAATGTGTACTGCACTGAAACAGAGGAGGGAGAGAACCGTTTAAAAGAGAGATATAACTGGGTATTTCTGTCATCACAGGAGACTAGAGCGAGGGCTACATGGTGGAGGGGACCTGGGGGAGGGTTTGTAAAACAATGAAAGAATCTTTTCTTTTACTTTTCCATAATTTTTAGACTCATGTACTTATAACTTGTTAGTCAAAATTGTGTCTTCTAGGTTGCAACACCCCCATGATACATCTTCAAGGATATGAACATGTACAGCCAAGCACAATCAATAAGAGTGCATCTAAATTCCAAAATCAATCTCCATAAAAGTCTATGTGTTTCCTACTGCCAAAGGGGCCCTTTAGAGTAGTGAGAGAAGATCTTCACCCTGAAACCCACAGCGTCCCTTTTCAGCAGGAAGTAGTTAAGAGAATACGCCATCCCCTCTTCCTTATGACTCAGAGTGAAGTCTCTCTCAGGGAGGAGTGATAGGGAATGGCAAAGGATACACTGACAAAGAAGATTAATCAGAACTGGCTTTGACAAGCACTGTGGCATTTGGAAAGAACAAACTGGGAGGAGGGTAGAGAGAATAGTGCAACAATGAATGAGTGGAAGCCCAAAATCTCTGTAAATGTTTATGAAAATTAATAAAATATAATTATAGAAAAAAAAAAGAATTAGGGAAAAGAAGAGGCCTTCCTCTTCTTTTAGCTTAGAACAGTGTGCAGTGTGCAAACAAAGATGCTGAGGCAGACATTCGTGTGCCAGGTTCACAAAGAAATGGAAATACATCAGAGGCAGAGATTCCTCTGTAAATACGTAATCAGAGACAAGTTTATAGAAAAAAGAGTGAGATGATAGAGACACGAATATCAGGTTAAGGGGTTTAAACTTCTGTTAATCAATAGCACAGCCTTCGAAGACATTTGGTCAAAGAAACAGGAAGCAATTAAGTGAATAAAATGATGTTTAGAAAAAAGTATATAGTAGAAAAGTACATGTTGAAAAGTTGGCAGTTTGAACCAATTGTTACTTTGATGCAAAGACATAAGGTAGTCTGCTCTGCGAAGAATTTACAGCCTCAGGAACCCAAAGGAAGCCTGCGATCAGTCAAAATTGACTCGATGGCAACAGTTTTTGGGGTTGCTGGTTTACAAAGATAACCATAACTATATATAACTATATATATATATATATATATACACACACACACACACACACACACACATATATATATGGTTATATATGTTGATCAGAAAACAAACAAAAGAATTAGATGTAGAAAATTAGTTTAATAAGAACACAGTTTAAGCAACAGGCATGCTTTTATTCTATGGCATTTGTTACATACAAACTTTAGGAAAAGTAGTTTAAAACTAATAGGTCACCACCCTAAACAAGAACCCTTGGAAGAAATATTCTATTATATCATCCACAGCCATCACTGCAGACAGAAAGCAAATCTCTATAATGTCTAGGTGAAGGTAGGGAGGGGATGCACTCTTCTGGAGCTCATACCCACTACTTCCTCCATCTGCTTCAGTGTGTTCTCCATCTTCTCCTGAACATCCTGTTGCTTCCTCCCAGCATCCTCAATACTATGTGTCTCAAAATAGCAGTCTCGAAATGAATAGAGCTGGTCCACCAGTTCCTAGGAAGTGAAAGGATAGTCTATCATTAAGTAGAAATACAAGGAAATTTGAGATTGGCCAATCCACACCAGTCTTGACCCAAAGATACTGACTCCTTATGTTATTTGGGAATGACGCAATAGGCAAGTGATCAGGCCTATCAAAATGCCACAAATGCTGAAGAAGCCAGTGTTCCAGGCCACTCTCACGTTGTCTGTCCCATGCCAGGTTCTCTCACTGTCCCAGGAGGGCTTCTAAAATAACTAACCTACCAAAACTGGAAAATCAAAAACATTTTACTTTACAACTTGAGATAAATTAAAAAATTAACAAGAACCTACCTGGTTCTGGTCTCCAAAGAAGAAAACTTTGCACTTTACTTAAACATAAACCTCCTAACAGAACAATTTCATCACTGATTTTCCTATGTTGATATTTGAATACACAATGGAGCTCTGTGAGTACAATAAGCATGTGAGAAAAGCAATGTTTTCCATTATGAACAAATCAACTTAAGCTTAGCTCATTATTTTTGCCATTTTTGCAGATTTTTTAAAAAATTGTATTGGTGGTTTTGGTTTTTTGTTTTTTTATTTTGTATTGTGTTTTTTTTTTTTCAATATGGTTAAGTCATCTCCTGGCCCTCTCGCATTCTTTGCAAATAGGCATTCTCTTTCCATCTTTACATGCTTTGCCACTGAGTCTCCCTATGCAAAAACTTTTCCTAGACCTGAATAGCAGTCTCTCTCAAATTGCTGTTGAGTTGGAATCGACTCCTACCTAACCCAGTACCTAACTGGATGAGGCTGTAAATCCATTTTTCTCCCATAGTATAGCTAGTAAGTATGACCTACCTGCCTTTGGCAGCATAACTCCCTATGCACTAGGCCATCAGAGCTCTCTGAGTAGCAGCTGTTGTTGTTTTTGTTAAGTGTTGTCAAGTCTCACAGCTGACCTCCCCCAAGCAGGTTTAGAGCGACTGTAAATCACACAGAAGATGGCCCAGTTGTCTCCCATTCAGCAGTGGGTGTATACTACTCACACTGTGCAACTCCTTGCCCATTAGGCTACGAAAGCTTCATCTAGTTGCAGTTATTGTTATTGTTAGGTGCCATCAAGTCAAGTACGACTCATAACGACCCTATGAGCAAAAGATCTGAACCCGGTCCTGTCCTACACCATCCTCACACTTCCTGACACACAAGAGCCCATTTCAGCAGTCACCGTGTCAAGGTACCTCGTTGAGGGTCTTCCTCTCCTTCGCTGATCTTCCACCCTTCCCAACATCATGTCCCTCTCCAAGAATAGCACCTCCTAGTAATATGTCCAAAGTCTGTGGGGCAAAGCCTCATCATGCTTGCATTCAAAGAGCACTCCAGCTGCACCCTCTCCAAGACATATTCAAAGAGCAGCACATAATCTAATCTCATCAAGTCTTATCAAGTACCTCAACAACTCACCCCAAATCCATTCACCTGACTTCATTCAACTATACTTACTGGTGGTATCAGATTATTAAGTACACTACAACTCACAGCGACCTTATGACCTTGCTTAGGCACCATCCTCAAAATTTTGCTTTGGTCAAGTCCACTGTCAAGAACTTCTCCAAAATACTAAAGAATAATGATGTCAGTTTGAAGACTAAGGTGCACCTGATTCAGGCAATGATCTGAGTGCTCGACAAGGAATAAGGAGGGCAGAAGAACTGATGCCTAGATTTGTTTTTTTTGGTTATGTACGGTTATAAAAACTTTGCTTTACTGAACACCTGATTCAATCAGTACACACTAGGAAATGTATGATGAGAAGTTATTCCAAATGAGATCTTCTTCTTGTTGTTATTGTTATGTGCTGTTGAGTCACTTATGAATCATAGCGACCCTATGTACAACAGCTCTGAATCCTGCTCTATCCTGAGCCAACTTTCTTGTCTCCAACACATCTACCCTCAAAACCCCATTCACTCAGTCAATTCATCTCATCAAGGGTTTTTCCCTCTTGCACTGTCCCTCCACTCTCTCAAGCATAATGTCCCTCTCCAAGAACTGGTCCCTCCTTGCAACATGCCCAAAGTATGTGAGACAGAGCTTCAGAATCCTTGCCCCCCAAAAGCAGCCTGGTTTCACCTTCTCCAGGACAAACCTATTTGTTCTCTTATCAGTCTATGGTATATTCAATACTCTTCTCCAGCACCACAGCAATGGCATCAATTCTCCTATTATACCTAATCATTGTCCAGCTTTCTGAGGCATAGCACGTAACTGCGAAAACCATGAGACAGACAGAAAATAAAGCCCACTGCAAAAAAGTACTGTTAATTTGTTCAATGATCTTTTAAAAATTCACCAATGTTTAAACTTTTGCATTAGATCCTTTAAAGCCAGTTTCAGGACTATCACAGGTCTAATATTTCAATTCCAGTTATGCAAGTTCACAAATTCTTTTTCTTTAGTTTAAAATAAAAATTTTGGATTATTAAGAGTTAAGCAACCAATAAACTCCTATTTACCAAACAAAGAAGATTAGTCCTCATTTCAACAATCAAATGTGGATTGGGCGAAATCTGGACACCCCCATTCCAGCCTTAAATCTCAATTTAGGATTATATCTGGGATTAGAGTGCAAAGAAATTAAAACTGTTAAATTCTAAAACGTACCAAGTTGTACGTGCCTTATACAAGTCTTATCTGTAAAGGCTGTCAATTTTTGAAGCAGAAAAGTGTTGAACAAACGTTAATGTGTTAGTCAAAACCGTGATAAAACCCCTCATTGTAGGCCAGCCATGTGTGTATGTATGCACATGTATAGTACATATGTTTTTAAACAGAGACACATACATTTGCGATTTATCGAGAGTGAGTTGGGGAAAAAACTTTAATGTACAGGAATAAATTCAGATGCAGCAAATCCTTTTCCAAACACCACTGAAATTAAGTGCAGTCAGATGGGCAGCACCTCTCTCTCTCCGTGCGGCTGCGGCACCCTCCGCAGTTGTTATAGTAACCGCACACGCATGCAGCGTCGAGTAAGTGCCAGGCTTTCGAACGCACTGCAACTGAATTACTTACTTCTCCCCGAGAAACACCACCACGTACAGCTTTCAACCTATTGCCTCACCTGCAATTTCTGCAAGATTTGCTTGACTTCCTCCTCTTCATCAGCCATCATTTCCCAGGTACTCTCGGCTTCTCCACCCCCAACTTTATAACCACCGAGACACAGACCCACCACCATTATGGAACCACAGCGACATCTGGCGGTGTGGAGGCCTACATGATCAAAGCGGCTGGTTTACAAGGAAACAGACCATAAGTAACCAAATCTAAACCAATGCTTAAAGGAATTGCTCTACATTATACTTTTGAGTTAATGTATTTCTTTCCCAAACCTGAAAATTTTATCCGTTTAATTTCACTTATGTTTTTGTTTCATAGCCCTCTACTAATTATTCATAAGGAGAGCAACAAGCAATTTTTAAAGAATAATTTGAAGTTTTGAATGAAGTAATGTTAGTTAACTGACTGGAAGAGACAAATATTTGTTCCCATTCCAAAGAAAGGTGACCCAACAGAGTGTGAAAATTATCGAACAAT